CTCGCTCGATGGCCCACCCCCATCCATCTCAAAGCACTAGGTGGGGGTGCCCCCGTGACGAATGACCCGCGCCCTGAGCGTGAGCGTGGGCAGACCGAGCCAACTGGGACCCGCAGTGGGGTCGACACAGGCTCGAAAGGCTAACAGGGTTAGGCCCTACACCGTCCGAGCGTTTCGTTGGACGACCATACGAGCGCCCTCCACCCATCATGGTGGACGACCACGAAGAGTTCCTCATTTCAGACATCATTGGTCACCGAGTCACTGATGACAACCCTCCTTATGTCGAGTATCTCGTATGTTGGAAAAGTTACCCTGATGAGGAGGCTACTTGGGAGCCCTCGAACACTTGCAGCACACTCGCATGTTGGTGCGTGCCTATGACTGTGCTCGTCGTGTTGGGTTAACTGCTCCTCCTCAACCCACTAACTCTCTTCCTTCTCTCTCGGTCGAGAGGACCACTGAAGTCGAACCTGCTTCATCCGAGGTAGACCTTCAGCAGCAACCGAATGCTTATGAGCGTCTACAACGCACTCGTCATCGTCCTGCTCGATACGACGATTGACTCTGACTTCTCTTCCCACGTCTTTGACTTCTCGGTACTTCATCCACACCAGTTTTGCTACTTCAGCTCATCGACGTTGCGGTTGTTCCTCGACGGCATTCCAGACTCATCATCATGATCGTCATTGGCAGCTTCACGGACTTCGTCATGATCAACACTGCCTACTTCAGACGTCGTCACTCTCTTACCACCTTACCCTGTACAACACCCTGGTTATGTCGCCTGATGGTTTTCCTTAGCCGGGTTCCTCTAAGTTGGGTTCTCCCTTGGTATACGCATAGGCATCGGGACTGTAGCGTTGACCTGACTTCCCAGCTTACAGATCAAGCTCCGACTTCCCTCACTTTAGGAGTCATTTGCATGATTCCCTTACCCATCACTTTTTCTACCCTATGGACCTAGTTAGGCAGCCTTGCATGCTTCATCTAGGTGCGCCTAGTATACCAGACTCCCTTATTCCCTTGCATTGTCGAGCCTACACAACAGCTACCCCTTTAGTTGAGCATTACCCGCCCTGATGGTCTATTTGTTAGGGTCATTGATTTTGTTCGCCCCCAGTTCCCTACCCTCATTGAGCCTGATGACATGTGTCTCCCTATCATTATGTGTGAATGCCCTTAGGAGTTTCTCGACCCTTAGGCTGCATTTGCCACCCTCAGAGACCATCCCACCCTGTGGTTTTGCGACACACCTTTCCTGTGACATATGATTGTCTTGTTCTTGTTTTGTTGCTCTCAGACTGAGGCCTCTGCCTCTGACCTTTATAGGATTTAGTTGTGTTTACTCTGACTGTTTTTAAGACTTGTACACTAGTCAGTTATTTCCAGACTAAGGCTAGTGCCCCTAACATAATAGGATTTAGTTGTCATTACTTTCTGTTTTTCTAGGACATGTATACTAGTTAGTTGCTTGTTGTTTTCACTTAGGCTGTTAGCTGTAACATTGTTGCTTCTGCGACATTTTTTAACCTAGGTTACATCGCATGGATTCAACATGGAGCTTGCTCCACATCCTAGACTACTCGAGTTTTTTTTTTTTTTTCTTTGATAAAGTTCCGCTTCTTGGCGGAAGCGTGCTTGTATCTAGTAGGTGATCCATCACAGGTCGAGGATCGTGTAGCGGTGTCGAGCGCATCAGCCCGGCACCGCATGAAACGGGGCAGGACCCTCCCGACCGCGTCACACAGGAGTCGGTCTGATCCTCGTTGCAAATGCATATGGAGTTTCCGCAAGTCGCTCCGGCCGAGTGCGCCAACCATACCTCTCGCGAACCTTTACGACAGGATAGGGCCTACGCGAGGCACGACTTACCTCCACCTTACGGGAGCTGTCACCTCCCTTTGGTGGGCGTATCCCCGCCGAGCTACCAGTCCACAATACGAAAGTTGATCAGCTGCAATCGCAGAGGTGGACCAGACGAGGGTGTTCCTCGTTCACTGCATCATTAAGGGGCACGCGCGGTTTTACGTCTCTGTCGGACCCACACGCGAACCGACGTCTTGAGGGGCTGAAGTCCCAAGCGCGGCCCGTCGTCGGTCGACTAGGACGCATCCCACATACCACGCGTACACCACTCTAAGAACATAAAGGTAAAAACATACACACATACACATACATATACAAGACAACACCGAACAAACAATGCGACAACACTCCTAGTCCTTTAATAGTCATCCCATAGCTCACCGATGCGGAAATCAGACAGGCGTTGCGCGCGAGACTTAATATAAAACCGCACGGACGCAGGGCTAATCTCATATCGACTCGCAATGCAAGCAAACGCAAACAGTCGCAATGATGGTGTACTACGTAGTACCCATACTCATACGGTTCTCGTTAATCTTGAGGGTCGCATTCGACACTCAAGTGTCGGCCAACGCGCGCCTTGAGAGAATGATCTTTCAACGCTGGACAACCGTCAAGTGCGGTTGAGAACCACACCCTCTTCTGCACTCTGCGGAGAGTGGGTGGTACACAGGTTCATACCTACAGGTTCATACCTGTGGTGGCAATCGTCTCTTATCGCCTTGGAGACCATCTCCTTCATCTGGGGCCTGCGAAGAAATCAAGGGGGTTGACTTTGACGACTGCCACGGACTACAACGTCCAACCATAAAAATTATAAAAAAACAAAGGATAAAAAATGGTTTTTCTCTTCTTTCATAAACATAATCTGTTTAACATTTACGCGTGGTCACAGTAGGCCGCACGAAACACTCAGGACATATGTATTTATAAATAGAAAGGGTTATTAATATATGACGATCACTTCTCACAGTCACAGTGAAACTCCTCTCAGCCATATATATATATATGTGAGCGCCGACAGTCAAATCAAAAGTTCGAATCACCAAACATATCTGCAATCATATCAAAGATTCAACAAAAACTCCATGCACTACACGGGGTCAACTTCAACCATTTCTGCACTCACACCCCTCGTTTTAGCCATGCAAGCCTCAATCTTATGCAACTCCTCAAAATAAAATACTCAGTGTTTTTCTTTAAATGACCATTCAAATAAAGTCCGGGCGAAAACACAACAAAACAGTTCAAATCACAAGGCTAAAACTTTTAGGTTGAGTAGCAAGAGTGTATTGGAGTTGAGTCGTAAACCGACGAATCGGCAACCGACCTGTTATCAGTGATAACAAAAGATGATCCTTATAGGACCAAGCTGAATCTAACCCAAATCCTGAATCAATCGATCAAAAAGTCATGTAACACAAGACAGACAAATCCCCAAGCTAAATTTATAAGTGTATGGAGAATACAACTCCATAACACATTCTCACCCAAGACCCTTCTACAAGCTAAGCCTAGGCCTGCCTCTAAGCCAGTGTCGAAAGAAAGGTAGACCCTGACATAGTCTCTTCTATATAGAGTGGATTGTCAGAATCTCCACCTGTCAAAATATAATCTAACTCCTCTGAACTAAGAAAATTTGGCAGCGCTTCCCGTAGGAAAAGTGTCTTTCCAGAATTTATAATAACTCAAATATGAAAAAAAAATTCAACTATAATTCTAGAAAGCCAAATTTTGTCTAACTCCCTGAATTAATAAAAATTTAAGCAGCATCTCCTTTAGAAAGGTAGACTTCCCAGATTTATACTAAGTCATATATGAACTCAGAAACAACATCCGTCCGACATCGCACGAAACGGGGTGGGACCCTCCCACTCGACAGCGGATCTCTGGTTGGCTTGTGAGACCAGCCCCTTGGCCTGTTCCCACAGACCTGTATTGTATTCGGGGTAGTCCAGTCCAGACCGGTACCTATGTCGGTGCCAGCCAGTCCAGTCCAGTCCAGTCAATCTGCTGAGGTAACCCTTGCCAAATTCTTTACTTGGGATCATTCTACATTCGTACAGTTTGGAGTACGTGCGTTGGAGTCTTGTGTGGGAGTTGCGTTGTGTCATCTTGCTCCACCCTCATCCTTCATCCCCATCTCTATCCCAGGCGAAGCACCTCACCCGGTGGGTCCACCACAGCTGGTTACACGACGTCATCCACAAATTGTTTTTTTTTTTTTTTTTTTTTTTTTTTTTGGAAGAATTTTGTATATATTGTCAATTGAAAATAGGAGGCGGGGAATCCTTACAAACAACCCGTTAAAATTGGAACGATACAGAGAAGATTAACATGGCCCCTGCGCAAGGATGACACACATAAATCGAGAAATGGTCCAAATTTTTTGCCATCCACAAATTGTGCAAGAGCTTTTGTGAACAAATTTTTGCCAATTTTCAAAGAAAATGCGAAAAAATAAATACGGCATTTGTGGTCACCTCCCTTGCGCCGCGGCTTCCCAGACTGCTGACAAATGGGCACACAGATAGTACATTTGGTACTTTGGCAAATCTGTGTGATCGGCCCGCTACCCTTTTTTTGGGAGGATTTGGGATTATAGGTCCCAGTGTGAGTATGCCCTTAGCTAGTTATATATGAACTGTTGATTCTTCTCACAAAAAAAAATAGCGTTTTGGCCAGGGGTGTGGCGACGCCCTGAATCTAGACATGTTAGGGACAACGGACTGGATCTCAAGTCACACGACCGATTCCCTTTTTTCCCCCGACGGTGCTTCTGCGCCCACCGCTTCATTTCCGGATCTGGTTGGTCGTGCTGGGCCTCCTCTGGGGATAGGTCCCACTTACACGAATTAAGCGATATTGACCGTAGATAGCGAAAATCAACGGCCAGCATCTCCGGGCTGCGCCACCACGCCTTGCGTGGTACATCAGTGTGCCCACATTGAAAGGCCCTCGAAATCTAATAAATCATCCGGTACCCGGTGGTGTGACTACCGGTAGGCCCCAGCAATTTGTTTGTCGTGGAGCCGGCTTCTGGCCTTTGGAGCATGAAGTTCGCCGTGCATCACTGGATCGTACGGTCTGTCGATTAGTGTAGTGGTTATCAGTTCAATTGAGAATTCGGCGGCGTCGAAGCGGTCCTCTCGTATGTCGGGAGCTGGCACGCAGCGGTAGGTAACAGGAGACAGTCGGAACGCCAATCGGTAGTGCTGTAGATGCATATGCACTCGCCCGCAGCGTGGCTTGCAGGCCAGCTGCCACGTCTGCAGCGCGCATCTGCCTGGACGTTTGCCGCTGCAGTTTTTTTTTTTTTGTTTCGGCAGAACAATGCCGACGGTGCTGGTGACCGAGGACAGCGGCTGCGCGCCGCACCGCTGAACAGGTGGTCTATCTGAGCGCCAACCCTCCGATCATGCTGGTTCCAGCGAGGGCCGGAAGCACCCCACAGTCATGCAAGTCCCTTGAAGTCCCGTCATTATGCAGGTATTCGGAGGACAGGATGATTACGAAGATCGGAAGCGGCAGTAGCAGCCGGGGCCATGGATCCACCGTGTCGTCTTGTGTCCAGTTGTATGTCTTTGCTTGGTGTACGTGGATTGACGCCGCGAGGTCTTGCAGAGGGCGAAATATGATCGCATCAGGCGTGGGGGATCGAGGAGTGTGGTCGCAATCGCCCGAGACCGACGGGAACGGGATGAATCGAACAAGTTGGCGTTGCGGCGCATTGGCGTCGTGGTCGGCGTCCTCAGTCAGGCGACAGCTATGGCGACAGCTATGGTGACATCGATGGTTTCGACGAGCGACAACTATGGTTTCAATGAGCGAATAGGACGTAACTAGCGCAGGGAGGGATTCTCGACCATCGATAGTAGCATTCCGTTGAAGGAGTCTTAAAAAGATCACAAGATCAAGATCAGGATCAACAGATAGATAGATAGATAGATAGATAGAGAGA